CAACAAGCCACGACAACAACACACATACACATAGAAAAGTCCACCAAATTCATTACCTTTTACAACTTAGCCAGAAAAAATTATATTGGAGGGAGGAGAGACACAATACAATGTATTTTATTCAGCATTATTTTAGGCTCACAGATTTTTTCCCCCCTTCTCCTTTCCTTACTCTTCTGAGGAGTCAGTAAATGCCCAGAGAGGTTCTGGAAAGTTCATCAACTAAACTGGGCCTTCTGCAAGGCAAATAGAATAAAAATATTCATATTAAAAGAACCCTGAAATAAAGAAACGTTTCAAAAAACAATAAAAGGGCAAGCCTAAGCAGAGTTAAAAAGGTAAAGGTTCCCTTGCTCAAAAGCCAGTCGAGTCCGACTCTAGGGTTGCGGTGCTCATCTCCGTTTCAAAGCCGAAGATCCAGCGCTGTCCAAAGACGTTTCCGTGGTCCTGTGGCCGGCATGACTAAACACCAAGGTGCACGGAACGCTGTTACCTTCCCACTGAAGTGGTACCTATTTATCTACTTGCAATGTCTTGCTTTCGAACTGCTAAGTTGGCAGGAGCTGGAACTAGAGACGGGAGCGCACTCCGTCATGCGGCAACTCGGGTCTCGAACTGCTGAACTACTGATCTTCCACAGACTGCAGTTCAGCGTCTTAACCACTTGAGCCACCGCAGCTTTACAGGCCCACTAACTTCCGTGGATTTAGAAAGATAAAGCTCTGTTTAGGATCACACAGTTAAGGAAACAAAAGTCTTCCATGATGGATTTTACTGCCATTAGTTTGGTACTAGTTTTGCCAGAAACTTTTTTTTTTAAAAAAAAAAACAGAACAAAGAGATGTTTGACTTCTCTTGTGACCAAGAGCTCTGTCATAGCTAGCAGGAAAGGATCTGGTTAACCTTTGAGTGCAAGGCAAATCCCAAACAATCTCTCCTTTATTATGTTCTTGTGCATCATCTATTGCTTCACTAAACATCCCCATGCAGAGCAAAGGTAGCACTAATATAATGTTTAGTAATCAACCTCTATGTACTTGAGACAGGTGAATGTAAAGAAAAATCTTTCATTTGTCATAATTCTTAATTAGCACCAGAAAGGCTATCCAAACTCAGCCTATGTGGATTTGAACGGGATCTCTATTCATAGCCCATATGGATTATGTTTAGGTTACCACTGGCCATTGTTGATTAAAAAGTTCAAGATGGGCTCGAACTTTCTGTCCTTAGGTGGCTAAAATTGAAACACTTTATTCCCATTAAACTTCCAGCAACACATGCACTACTATTAACAGACCTCATGACTAACTCAATGCAAGCATCTCTGGCATTTACACGCCACAAAAATCATATTTTTTTAAAAAAAAATTAAGACTTAGTGGTGTAAAACATGGACACACTTGAAGGTACACACTTCCAGCTTCCACGGCTTCACAGCCCTCCACTCCTGCCCGTGCATCCATGGCTGGTGCACCTAACTAATCATACTTCTCTTCTGATCTGCATGCAAAAAAAAATCAAAACAGAAATCAAATCTGTTAGCCATTCCTTATTTGTATATTGGTAACAATAAAAAATTTTTCTGGAATGTAAAAATACCTATAAGGTATTTTGCAGCCTGCTGCTTAGGCAGATCCTGGCAACACAGGCCAATGATCTAAACAGGAATCAACACACGCATACACACACCACAAGAATCAACACATGCATACACAATTATCTAAACAGGAACCGACATAGCTTGTCCTGGATGGAGCTGCACTACCCTGAAGGGACAAGTTCATAGTCTGGGGTGATTCTGGATCCTCCTAACCTATATTTGGAGGGTCAGGTCTCCTCTGTGGCACACAGTATCTTTTCTCAGCTTTGACTGGTATGCCATGCCATCTACAGCCATTCTCCCAAAAACATGATCTGACCATTGTTATCCATGTCCTGATCACATCTAGGTTAAATCACTGTGAGGCATTTTACATGGGGCTGCCTTTGAAAACGGTTCAGAAATTTCAATTGGTCCCAACAGGCTACTGTTGGGCATGGGATACAAGGGCAATTATTATTCTCTTGCTGAAAAATCTGCCCTCGTTTTCATTTTGTTTCCAGGAACAATTAAAATGCAGTTTTTACCTTGAAGGCTCTAAAATAGATGAGATACTTAAAGGAATTCCTCCTCTTGTATTGTCTAGCTTGCCAGTAAAGATCCTCTTCCCAGGCCTTCTCTATGGCTTGGGAAGAGGATGGCAACCAGAAACACAGCCTTTTCTGTGGTAGCACCTCAACCTGAGAATGCCCTCCCTCATGAGATGCACCTGGTGCCTATTTTATTACCCTTCAGGTGCCAGGCTAAAATATTTATCTTTACCCAGACTTTTTACTGATGAGTTGCATCATTGTTAGCTGGGTTTTTTTATCTGCTTCCAGACTGAGGGCTCTTTTGTGACCTGTCAATTTACGGTTTGTTTAAATATTGATAATTTTTAAGTCTGGTTTTATTGTATTTTTACACAGAGGCTGCATATAAAAGGCATATAATTAAAAATACATTTTGCAAAGAGTAATCTGTTCTCCATACTGTTTAATATGTTATGTTACATAGTGAAGATGGCTTCATAACTTTTGATTGTGCATTTTACACCATTCCTGGCATTACTCAACCAAAAAAGTGGGTATCAGGAAAAAAAACTGAGGAAAGATGAAACAGGCAAGGAAGGGAAGCCACCATGGTGTAGTGGGCTAGAGTGTTAGGCTAGCACCTTTGAGACCTGGGTTTATGACCCTACTGTACACTGCAGCTTGCTGAGAGACCTTGGACCAGTCACCTTCAGCATAATCACTAGGTTGTAGTGAGGTAAAAGGAGGAAGGGAAAATCATGCATGCAAGTCTAAGTTCTTGGATGAAGGAATAAAAACATACTAGAAAAATAGAAAAGACATAATTGGGTATGCAATCAAAAGTATACATAATTTTAAAACACTGCAAATGTGAAGCTGGTGCATTAGGGGTACAGGAAGGTCCCATAATGTGCCCTGCCAGGGCCCCAAAACCCTATCTATGTCACTGCATATGTGCTACGTCTACTGACATGAAACAGTCATTGCTGCAATACCAAATCATAACAGACAACAATAACCGTGGATTTCATGAATATTCTGCTAAAGAAACAAACAATAAAAAGATACTAGCTTTGCTAAAAGACAGCAAGAGATTGGTAGTCTCAATACATAAAAGGACAAAAGAATTCTAGTGTTAATTGATGGAGAAAGAATGCAGAACACTAAGAGCATTTCTGTAGTAGAAAAAGGACAAAAAGTTTTTAAAGGAAGCATTCCAATAAAATAGACTAATTGGGCCTTTGTGGAATAACATGAAAGTTTCCATCACTTACCACCACTGATTCTAAAATTGCTCTACCACAGCATGCTCCATTCACCCAACTGTGGGGTCACTCTCCACAAAGTATTTTGAGGATAACTTCTCTATTTGAAATGAAACTGGTCTTCTTTAGGAAATTTTCTTTTTTTAAAATGTGTTTGTGTATGCACCTGGAAGTCACAGCAACCTCTAGTGACTGACCCCTACTAGGGGCCTGGAGGATATGCAGAGAGGTGGCTGAATAAAACCTGTCCCCACCTCCTGCCTCTGGTATTTCAGTGAGGTCTCCCATCCAAATACTTGCCAGAGTTGTCCCTGCTTAGCTTCCAAGATTGGGCTTGCCTGTGCTATCCAGGTCAGGGCTTCTTTAGGAAGTTTTCAAATGTGGCTGGTACTATGTCACACCATCAACCCCTATCGCCACCCCATAAATATGATATAGCAGACAGAGTATGTAGAAAAAAATAAATGGTTTCTCCACACATTGGTTACAAGTTATGCAATTAAGCACTTCAGAATGACAATGGATATAAGAATGGAAGGAGCCACCTTAAAAACTTTTTCATCATGAAGAACAATAAGAAAGATGGTTATAATAGTTGTGAAACTTTCAGGAGAGGTTTTGCATGCAGAATGCTAATTTGAAATTTTTTATACAACTCTGTACTCTTCCCCCCCTTCTTTTCCCTTCCCCCCTTTCTATATATAAACTAATAAAACTCTATTTTTTAAAAAAACAAACTTTTTCAGAACCCAAAGTGGTACAGCGTGACCAATATCCCCAAATGGTGAATGAGATGAAACAAGAAACATCTGTCCATATATTAGTATTTCTACCTGGTGTCACTAGCATGTCCAAGTCAGGCCAAGTATAAACAGTAGTCCTATCTGCATTAAACTCATTGCACTATAAAGGGATTTTGCAGTTCTAATAACCCATGTATGGAGAGACAAAAAACACAGAAAAGAAAGTTAATCCAGGCCCTTCTTGTAATCAAAGAACACAGGCAGGCTGTGCAAGTTTTCTAAGAATGCAACACAGCTGAGTATTGAAATGCTAGTAGATGCATAAATTTTGCTGGAACAAGAAAAGAAACCCACATGGAACTGGACTGGATTATCCTGCAACGTAAGGTAAACAAATTATGAAAGCAACAAAAATGGTAGCAACTAAAAAATAACATGATGCTAATATTAGCTTTTGATTTTGAAACTCTAGCTTCAAGAAATCAAAGCTTTGCTCTATTCTGTCAGGGAGGGACTGTGGTTCAGTGGCAGAGCTTCTGCTTGGCAGGCAGAAGGCCCCAAATTCAATCCCCAGGATCTCCACTTAAAAAGATCAGGCAGCTGGTGATGTGAAAGACCTCCACTTTAGACCCTGGAGAACCACTGCCAGTCTGAGTAGGCAATACTGACCTTGATGGACCAATGGTCTGAATCAGTGTAAGGCAACTCCACCAGGGCTTCATCTATCCAGGCTGCACAAATGCGTTTCTTTTCATTTCAATCAGCACAATAATTTAAAATAATGTGAAGCACTTCTTGTGATTATGACATTTAAACATGGTACAGAAAGTACAAGTTGTATCCCTAATTTTAAAAAACTCTTCAGAATCAAAATACTTACTGTTGCTCGACTTGAGGTCTCTGTGAAGGATAGGAACGATGGCTTCTTCGTGTAGGTAGAGCATCCCATGAGCTATCTGTATCGCCCAGTTGACCAGTACATGAGGAGGTATGCGCCGGCCCCAATGACTTCCACTAGCAGTTGGGGAAGCCCCTGACAAAGCTCTATTGAGGGGCCCTCCCCTAGCAAATTCCATAACCAGGCAGAGGTTGGGCTCCTGCAGACAGACGCCATGAAGCTCGATTATATTGGGATGTTTCAACATGGAGAACAATTTTGCTTCTTGCCGAACACTTTCCGCAGTGGCCATGATGTCCTCATCCGGGTCCTGCCGAGCTGCTTTCACTGCCACTTCCTGGCTCTTCCACATGGCTCTGTAAACTTTGCCAAAGCCTCCAACTCCAATGATCTCTTGCAGCTCCAGACACTGGAAGTCAATTTCTGCAAGAGAACCCAAATGGTCTTCACCGCTTGTGGAATGCCCATCGCCCATTGTTAGGCTTTGGCCTGGATGTCCAGACTTCTCTAATAATCCCCGCTGGGGATGTTGACAGCGCCCTGGTTGATAAGTCACATAGTTGGCTGGGAAGATACCAAGGCGGTGGCGGATTTTGCCTGCCCACCAGCCATCATCTCCAGAAACCGCAGCATCTTTAGAGAGAACCTCGACCACTTCGCCCCGCCGCAAGCTCAGCTCATCTTCTCCAGTGGCTTCATAGTCATACAGTACAGTCCAGAGAGGGCCAGAGGTGCCACTGGCCCCCAAAGCCCCTTCAGCCCCTCCCAAAGAGCTCAGCAAAGCCATAGTCACAGCGGTGGCGCTAACCACATCAGGTTCAGCATCAGCATTTGGAGCCTTCAGGAAGCCCCTGTGGAAAGGCTCTCCTCACTGCTTTAGGTGAACATACAGGTGGTGGTAGAGAAAAATGGACACTGTGGATGACAGAGAAGAAAGAAGCAGAGACACGAGAGCACAGGAAAGAGGGAGGTGAGGTCTCCAGGAGACCAGGGCAAAGGTCACAGGAGCCGAGCCGCAAGAGAGGGAACAAAGGTTGGCGTCTAGAGAGGCAGGAAACATAAAGAGGGAGGTCTGGGCTCAGGCCAAGGAGGGACCGCAGAGCAAGTGGGGAGATCGAAGAGAATGGGACCCAGAGGCAGAAAGAGTGCGGAATGACGCATAAGAGGGCAGAGAGAAAGGAGCGTCCGAAAGAACTCCCCAGTCTACAGAAGAGAGAGAAGAAGAAGCGCCAGGAGGTCAGAGGAGCGTACAAGTTAGTGCGGCAACTGAAGAAGGTGAAACCGGGCGGAGAAACACCAAACCTGCTCCACCGCACTGGGCAAAGAGCTCCAGCACCCAAGTGAGCGGCGCGGGGTAGCGCTCCCCCCCCCCCCGGCCGCCCAGGTGAGGAGAAGGAAGCGGCGCCGCGGCGGGAGAGAGGCGCAACGCCGGGGGAGGCGCCGGCAACAGGTCGAGGGCTGGCTGTCGGCGGTGGCGGGAACCCGAGAACGGGAGGCGGCTCCCGGGAACCGCAGCCAGCCCAAGACGGCGCGGAAAGGCGCTCCTCGCCAGCCAACACGTCCGCCGCCCCGAGAAGCTCTCGGGCACCTCGGATTGGCTGGCACAGGGGCACGTGACGCGGCAGCCAGGCGCTGGGTGCGGGTCACAGAGTGGAGTCGTGCAGGTGGCCCCGCCGCTGTCCCTCCCGCACCGGCCCCCGCGGGCAGGCTGCGCGTCTGGTAGGGGCGCGAGGCGGAAGTGGTGCAGGAGGGCCGGCGCTCCTTGGGCGCCCGTGGGCGGCGAGGCTGTGTCGGCAACAATTCGCTCGCCCTCTTCGCAGGCGAGGAACCCGGAAAGATCGTTTGGGAGAGTCAATGAATTGGAAAGTGGTTCCTTGTTGTACCTCTCTGTAGTTCCCCTTCCACGGAAACGCTGCTAACGTTTGTTTGGGAGAAAGACGTCTTCACTTTCATCCTCGCCGATTCTATTTTGTCATTAGCTCCTAGAGGAAACCTTGATCTGTCTGTCTATCTTCCAGACAAGTTGCAGCAAAAAAACCCTGTCTGCTTGTTTCAAAACAAGTCGGATTTGTCTGATAAGATCTGCTACCTCTGCTGTCTTCACAGAGGAAGCCAATGACATAGGGAGCAGTTCTGTGAATTCGCGGATGTTTGCTGAGCTCTTAGCTGACATGCTGCCTTACATCTCCCACGTTAGATCGCTAGCCACTTTTTTTTTGGGGGGGGGGATCACTGGATTAGAGGTCGTCTGTAAAGTTGCTACATATCAATATGAAACATATTTCTTGGAACATTATTTCTCTCTTTGGGCCACATGTAGCAAAATATAACAGGTGACATAACATACAAGAACACAAGAAGAGCCCTACAGGATCATGCCAGTGGTCCATCTAGTCCAGCATCCTGTCTCACACAGGAGCCAACCAGTTCCTCTGGTAGGGATGCCAGGTCCCCCCTGCCCCCAGCCACTGGCAGGGGATGGCAGGTAGGGTTTCCAGATCGAGATGGGAAAACTCCTGAAGGTTTGGAGATGAAGCCTGAGGATGACAGGGACCTCAGGAGGGTACAATGCCATACAGTCTACCCTCCAAACCATCAGTTTTTCTCCAGGGGAACTGATCTCCGTAGTCTGGAGGTGAGCTGTTATTCAGAGGGATCTCCAGGTCCCACGTGGCGGCTGGCATCTTCTGGAGGTCCAACCACAAGTTGCCTTTTTCACCACTACGGCACACTGGGTGGACACTTTTATCAAACTACTATTATCTCTTTCACTCTCAGTCTCAGCAAGTTCAGAACCCATTAGTACCATTAAGTGGTTTTCTAAAAGCTTATTCTGAAAGTGTGGAATCATCCTAAACCTCTGTCCTCATTCATAATGCTGGGATTCCTGGGAATGTCACGTGTGACAGCATTCTGCCGGAATTGAACCTCTTGAGCAAGAGGTGTTAAAAAGGGGCAAATAATGAGACAGTATTTCATTAGCAGAGGTATATGAGTTGCCACTACACCAGACTTTCTTTGGTGTGTGGTACTGTCCAAATCTCAATTCCTTATCAGCAGATCAAAAAGTGACATTTATAAGGATGCAGTGTTTGAGGGCACTTAATGCCTAAACAATATATTGTTTGGAATAGGCTAAGATTTATTTTTGCAATGTAAAGTTGTCCCCAAATTCTGCACCTAAACCTGTGAATCAAATGATTACACAGTGCAATCCTAAACCTAGTTACACTGGTCTACGTCTTTTGAAGTCAATGAGTTTAGAAAGGTGTAGCTTTCAGAAGAGGTAGAGGAACTAGAGATCAAATTGCCAACATTCGCTGGATTATGGAGAAAGCAAGAGAGTACCAGAAAAACATCTACTTCTGCTTCATTGACTATGCTAAAGCCTTTAACTGTGTGGATCACAACAAACTATGGCAGGTCCTTAAAGAGATGGGAGTACCAGACCACCTCACATGTCTCTTGCGAAACCTGTATAAGGGTCAAGAAGCAACAGTTAGAACCGGATATGGAACAATTGATTGGTTTAGCATAGGAAAAGGAGTATGACAAGGATGTATATTGTCCCCTTGCTTATTTAATTTATATGCAGAGTACATCATGCGAAATGCCAGCCTGGTTGATTCAGAAGCCGGAATTAAGATTGCTGGGAAAACATCAACAACCTCAGATATGCAGACGATACCACTCTAATGGCAGAAAGTGAAGAGGACCTAAAGAGCCTCTTGTTAAGTGTAAAAGAGGAGAGCGCAAAAGTGGGCTTGAAGCTCAACATCAAAAAAACTAAGATCATGGCATCTGGCTCCATCACTCCTTGGCAAATAGAAGGACAAGTTGTGGAAGCAGTGACAGACTTCACGTTCCTGGGATCCAAGATCACTGCAGACAGTGACTGCAGCCATGAAATTAAAAGATGCCTGCTCCTTGGGAGGAAAGCTATGGCAAACCTAAACAGCATAATAAAAAGAAGAGACATTACCCTGCCAACAAAAGTCCATATGGTCAAAGCAATGGTATTCCCAGTAGTACTGTATGGCTGCGAGAGTTGGACTATAAGGAAGGCCAAGCGCTGAAGAATAGATTCTTTTGAATTATGGTGCTGGAGAAGACTTGAGAGTCCCCTGGACTGCAAAGAGATCAAATCAGTCAATCCTAAAAGAAATCAACTCTAACTGTTCCCTGGAAGGCCAGATACTGAAGCTGAGGCTCAAATACTTTGGCCACCAAATGAGAAGGGAGCACTCACTGGAGAAGACCCTGATGCTGGGAAAGATTGAAGGTCAAAGAAGAACGGGACAGCAAAGGATGAGATGATTAGACAGTGTTATCGAGGCAACGAACATGAAATTAAGCAAACTCCAGAGCACGATGGAAGACAGGAGGGCCTGGCGTGATGTGGTCCATGGGGTCACAAAGAGTTGGACTCGACTGTGTGACTGAACAATAAAATAAATCCAATCTCCTCTTCTTCTTAAATGGAAGTCACTTGCTGGACACTACTGCACAGCTGTGATGGGGCAATTGTGTAATTAAAAAAAAAACTTTGGAACCCCCCCCCCCCAAATAACGTGATGTTCCATCCCGATTTAGAAAAGTGCTTTTTTTTTTTTTATGTAGCTGCAGAATAAATACGTTGGAAGAAAAAGAATGGTGCGTGAGGCAGGCACAAAATCCAAAATCAAGATTAAAAGCTTATTGTTCTGAAAATCTGGAGTAAGATGTGCATGCATAATGGGCCGTTGTTATCTTGAGGTTTCTGGTTACTGCTGCTTCACTAACAGGGAACTGGCCAGAATTGAATGGGTGCTTGAAGACGATGAATAAAGCCTAAGAGCTGATGCTTCTGTGTAAACAACAGTTAACTGAAATCATCTGAAACTGTGATGTTTGTAATATATATCACTTCGGTGGGTTTGCATTTGAGCTTTAGACTATCTGAGACTGTCATTCAAATCTGATCTCTCTGTCCATTAACAGCCCACTGCCAAGCAAATAGTATGATTGAGTTTCTCCAGTGTGGTTTATATTTGCATGTGTGGTTGCTTGGTCTCTTTACAATTACCAGATTAGTCATGAATGAAATCAGTCTAGTGGCACCTTAAAGGCTATCAACATTTATTCCAGCAGAAGCGTTCGTGACTTGGAGCTCAGCCCACACATTTGATGAATATTAGCCTCTTAGGTGCCACTGGACTTCTGTTTGATTTTGCTGTAACAGACTGCTAAAGAATTTAGTCAGATCAGTACTGGTGTCCTGACATTTCAGCCTCACTGAATAAATGAGAAGGAAAAAGTCCTCCAGAAAAAAACAAAAGAGTGGGGCTGATTCCTTACTAATGTTTTGCTTTCTGTTCCCCCGGGTCTAATTGGCCTGATTCTGCTGGGAGATTTCCGCATTAGGGAACTCTGGCCTGGGTTTGTCCTGGGTCTGCGTTTCCACATTTTGCCTTGCCCCGAATCTAGTGACCCCTCCCCTTTCTTCTCCCTCCTTTTTTTTTGGATCATAGGTGTGGTTGCGTTGTGACGCACCCACCCACTATGGAAAACAGGCATGCTTCACGTATGCATGGTGGCATTGTTACACAACTGGTCCATGATTGGTCCCTTTAATGTTTTTGAACTTGAATGCCCGCAAAAAGAGGAAACCCACAAAGGGTTCTCTCCCCTTACTTCTTACTTGTCAGGAGTTTTAACTGCACTTTCAGATGCGGCAATGGTCTGCATGAAGTTATACTACATCCCACAGCTGCATCGGTTGCAGTAGAACATTCCTCTCATGCTCCA